TTCCAAAGTCTGTTAAAAGATGCTTTGCAAAGTCATTTAACAAAGTTTAGAATTTTATTGGACAGTCAACATGGTTTCACTAAGGGAAAATCTTTTGACTTTGTTTAAAAAGGTTACTGCTTATTTAGATAAAGGTAAGGGCGTAGATTTTGTGTGTCTGGATTTTCAGAAAGCATTTGTCAATGTGCCACATAAAAGGCTTAAAAAAATTATCTCTATAGGTGTGGGAGATAACTTAGTAAATTGGATAAAAGAGTGACTGGATGGAAGAAAGCAGAGGGTTGTTACAAATGGAGTTCAGTCAAACTGGATTAATGTCACAAGTGGAGTACCTCAGGGCTCAGTCTTAGAACCTTTGCTCTTTTTGACTTACATCAATGACATAGATGAAGGAATAGTCAATAAATTACTTAAATTTGCAAATAATATTGAGGTCTTGTGTATTGATAGCTGTGAAGAGAATGCTGCTGATTTACAAAAGGATTTATATCATTTAGTGAGTTAGTCAAATAAATGGCAGATGGGTTTTAATTGTAATAAATACAAGATAATACATGTGAGTTATCATATTTTGAATTATAAGTATAATTTGGATGGGAATAACCTTAAAAGTATTATGAAGGAAAGAAATCTTGGTGTAATAGTAGACCAGTCTCTAAAGCCATCCAAGCAGTGTGTTCTTGCTAGTGGTAGGGCAAATAGGATTTTAGGTTGCATCTACAGAAATATTGAATACAAGCCTAAAGAGGTTATAATTTCATTGTACAGGTCACTGGTTAGGTTACATTTGGAATATTGTGTTCAGTCTTGGTCTCCTTACCTTAGGAAATACATTATTGTTGAAAAGGGTTCAGAGGAGGGTTACTAAAATGGTGCCTGGGATAGAGGGGTTGTCATACGAGAAGAGTTAGGGGGATCTGATTGAGGTGTATAAGATTTTCAAGTAAATTGATAATATTGATACATCATTTTTTTTCATATTTAACAGTGAGAAGAGTAGGACTAGGGGACACAAGATAATATAGTTTCATTTTTGTAAGAGGGTGGTTGGCCTTTGGAATGGGTTGTCTTCGAATGTTGTAGAGGCAGTAAATTTAAGTGAGTTTAAGAAAAAGCTTGATAAGTATGTGAATGATAAAGGCTGGCTTTAAGATTTTTTAATGAATTTAGTTTAGAGAATGGAAGATCAATTACATGTAACATGGATAACACAATAATTTAATAAAGTAATACATCCAATTACAATAAAATTACGCTTTAACTATATATGTAATTCAAATATGAAATACAATGATAATAGACATAAGCTGATCAAAAGAAAAACCCTTTGAATATATTTTAAAACATGAGCTAATACCTTTCACAATAAAGACACAATAAAAGAAAACCTTAAATGTAATTAATGATGTAATACATAATAACAGAAACACCTTGCAACCATTAAAACGTAACAGGAGCATTATATGATCCATATATATCATTATATAAAGAAACCCATTACAATCCAGAAAGAGCATTCAAGGTAGAGTCAATCCTTGGTAGTGTGTAGTTAGTCATCTTTACAAATTCATTCATATTCTGGACGTCGAGGTAGAACCTTGCTGATCCATCCTTCTTAACAAGTACAATAGGTCATTCCCATAGACTAGTACTCGGTTCTATTAATTCTTGTTCCATCAAGGCTTCTATCTCTTTGAAAGCCTCAGCCTGCTGTGCAAGTGGAAGTCATTTGGCTAAATGAAATATTGTGACAGCATCTCTAATATCAATCTTGTGAGATATTTTACTAAATCATGAGATCCACTGGAGAAGGTATCTTGATAGTATGTGTGCAAATTATGTAACTTCTTGCACTGATTTGTTGCATGGCTTCCTTGGCCATATAACTCTTGTAAGTGTTTGGCATTGGACTTCCTACATCTTTTTTTAAAAGTGATTATGATGTGAAATACTACCTGTACAGCATCCCATCTTCCAATATTCTATCTATATTTGACTCTAAATTTATAGTTGTGTTCATGACCCCAGTCATGACATCTCTGTATACAGATCCATGAGACTTCTACCTACTATTAATATATTATGTAAAGTGCTTTGTTACTGGCCTGAATAATCATTCCACTAATCTGGTTATCTCGATCTTGGAGTTATGCCTTTGTCAGGGTATAGCTGTCACAGTACTATCACTTCCATTTTTGTATATCTTCCCCAGGTCTACCAGATGGGCCGGTCACCTCGTG